TGGAGGCAGGAGTCAAAAGCCTGAATTTTGCCTGAAACTCTCAGACTGAAGAAGTCTCTTGGAGGAGAGACGAAATGTTTCATTAGAGAAGAACCTGTCCAGAAGACCTATACAATTATTTTCTTTTTGCAGGACTTAAAGTTCTCCTAAACAAGCTTTGGTGATGTTACAGCGTGGGACACATTGATAGAGCAAGAATGCAGCCCCTGAATTTGGACACACTGAGAGACTGAAACTGCAGTTGATTACAAAAAGTGTAGAAAATAAGACTGGATCTAAAATTCAATTCATCACAAAATGTCCTTCAAGGGCAAAATGGGAATTCTTTCCATTCTTCAACTGGTACTAAGGTTTTGATCAGGAGTGTATGACCAGCCTCCGTTATTTATTTTAGACTTGTTTTGGCTTACTTTTTTTATTTGCTTCATTATGTTTTTTGTTCTGTTTTGTAAATTTCTGTTGTTTGCTTTTGTTTCTGTTCAGTTAGAGGCACAAGAGCAGATGTTGAGGCTAGAAGAAGAGGCTAGAATTGGCGCCCAGCGTGAGGCCGCCAGGCTGGCTCGTGAACGAAAACTGAAGGAGGTGAGGCAGTAGTGAGCGCTCCCTTCTGTCAGTTAATCAGTGGGATTAACTGGACTAAACTTCTTTTACCTGCTGTTACTGTAGGTGGGCAAGTTCTCAGCCTTTTGTGTTGCTATGGGACTTGGCGATGTAAAAAATTTCTTTCCAATTAAGCTTTAAATCAGGGAAGTACACCTAAGTTACCTGACATACATGTAGCACTTCTACCTAAATTATTACAAACTACCAAGTGTTAGATACTTTGTGGTTAAAAGAAAAGTTCTTATCTTTAGTGTGTTGAGATGTAAAAATGTTAATTCAATCACAATAAAAGATACGTATTGACAAATTCTACATTAAAAAGTTTAGTGATTGCTTTTTTTCTTTATATTACATCTCAGAAATCAGAAAATAACTTTAAATGGCACTTTGGAAAACAAGTTATAGAAATGTATGACATTAGAAACTCATTAGAAAGACATTAGAAAGGCAAAATTATTTGCAAGGAATCAAAGTTTTAAATCTCATCTAAATATTCCACTACAACATGCAGTTTTAAATAAAATAAAAAGGCAAGAATAATCCCATAAAAGTTCAAACAGGAAAAAAACAGAATAAAAGTCTGTTAAGTTTTTTGAAACTTTTCTTTGGGATTTACCATGTCCTGGATGATTGAAAATCTACACCAGCAACATAGGGGTCTTTTTTTCTGATTTGTCATATTTTTTTTATGAAGGATCACCACTAAACATTTAAAATGTCACAAAAAACCACATTGATTTTTAAAATGTTTCTAATGAAGCTGAGCCAGAAGTTTTATTTCTTGGAAAAGTGCACAAGATAATTTTTTTTATTGCAAACTAAAACCAAACTTGTGTCTTGGTTGAGAAGCACAGTGGTGCAAGAGTCCTTCTTTAGGGCTGCTTTAAATTAATTACTTGCAAATGTTGAATAAATAAGGGATTTAAAACTGTACTAAGATAATTAAAAGGGAATTGTATTTGGTGGGGTTTATTACCTGAATCTTACGAGACATCAGGTAAATCAACAACATGTTAGTAGAAAAGGAAAAAAAGCATCTTTGATTATGATCAAGTTAAGAGTCCTGGCCTTAGAGGTGTTTGATGTTGTCTTCATTGATCAGAACTTTACTTGGGAGAGGAAATTGATCTGAGTATTTGGAAAATCAATCTGAAATTTAAGACATGAGGGATTGGCTAATCAAAACAAGGCCACTTTCAAAGCAGTTCAAACACTGTTACAGAAACATTGACACTGTTGCCCTCACTACGCATTAGAGTCTTCTGGCATCTTTCTTTGCCATCTAAACCAACTCACCACCAAGTGGAGATCAGCTGATGCTCCACTTCTTTCTTCACTTGAGTGTCCAAAACATACAGTTGCATATCAGATGACATGATTATAATGTCTATCATGGACCTGTGACTTTAAAGGGATCCATGATTAGTTGTAACCTTAGACTTTATTTAATAAGCATATGTTTTAACTGTAGAATAAAAACTTAAATAATACTGTAGGGTGTTTGGTTTTTATCATTTTTCAACTAAAAGTTTAAAAATATATTACACAGACGGGGCCATTTTATTTGCACACAAAGCATTCTGGGTAAATGATGACGTGGATAGGTCCTCGGTGAGAGGCTGCTAGTGAGCTATATCCACCCTGAAGGTTAATCTTGGACAATATCTGATGATCGACTCTTTTAAATGAA